ACATTTAAAGGAGATGATACAATATCTGGAATTGATTATATTGAAGGTATTACATTAGACATTATACATTATACATTAAACATTAGACATTAGAAATTATACATTATACATTAGACATTAAACATTAGACATTAGACATTAAACATTAGACATTAGATTTAATTTAAATTTTATTATTATTTCAAAGAATGATCTTTTAACAAATCTTTTATTTGCTGCTTTATCTTCTCTTAGAAATGCTTCCTTCTTTGGACAATTATATCTCTTATGGCACCGAGATATTCGTGCAAAATGCTGACTTACAAGCTAGAATATATGATGTCATTGAAACAGTATGATTAATTATTAATACATTGTTGTTTATCTTATATTGACTTAATATTAAAGGATATCTGATGTTTTCTAGGTTATGAATAGTGATCGTATCAATGAAAGTGAACGTATTTGTGCTTGTAAGTTGATTGAATCCGTATTGTTGAATTGTCGTGGATATGTGGATCAAGTATTTATTATTTTTTTTTTTTCGTAATTTACGTAATTGAACTATACTTTATTTGATTGTATCTATAAATAAATAATTTTTTTATTTTACATTATAGTATGTTGGCCCATTTCTTGGACTTGGTTTTCGTTACTTATCTGACCTACCAAGTATTACCACGCTATCATTCAAAATATATTGTATAGAAATTGTAAGCTTTTTATCAAATTATACTAATTTCCTAGTAATATGTCAATGTGATTGATTTAAATCGATTAATGTTTGTCCTCTTAGATAATCAATTGTCTCTACTATAATCCTATTCTGACTCTCCGTAATCTTGAAGAACGTGGTCTTACTCAAGCATTCTTTTCGATATGGTTCGAACACATTGACAAATTTAAACGTGTTCATGATAAGAAACTTGTTATTGTAGCGCTTTGTTCACTATTAGAATTACCTTTTGAACAATTGCCACCTACATTACAAGCTGGATGGACGCAAGTTTTGGACGGTATTCTAACAGTGTTCAAATCTCTACCTAAAGCCGAAGAGGGTAAGCCAGCATTATTTTAATTTTTTTCGCTATTTAACAAATTATACAAGTCTTTCTAATTTATTATCAGACCGAGAAAATCTCGAGAAAAGTTATGAAGACGATGATAGTGATGATTCAGATGAACTTGAAGCCCTCGAAAAATCGTATGGTGAAGATGACAACGTGGACAATGGTTAATATAACAATCGAATGTTTAAATTG